GTTCCAGGCAAGTGCCTTTGCACTTGACCATCCTCTTCTCCTCCATTACACCCTTCCACCCCCATCTTCCCGCAGATCCAACCATATATCAGTGGGGAACCTGCTTTGGCGAAAACAGGCAGCGGAAGTAAGCCACGGGCTTGCTCTTAGTCATCTGCTCACGAAGATGCAGCGAGAGCAGAACCGATATTCGTGGGCTTTTCAAAGTGCAGGTCCGGGCGCATCAATATCTGCTCCTGATTTCCCAGACTCCCCGCGAGGAGGTGCCAGACAGTCTATTGGGCTGTTTCTCGGTGACTGCTACCTAGACTTCAGAGCTGGCCAATCCCTTTGGCTGGATGGGGAACAATCAGATTGTTGTGACGAGGTGGAATAAATCTCTCTGCAGCTCTGTGTGCATTGTAGGCTGGTTGGATTTAAGTCCGATATTGACGAGCCCAGTGTTCTCATCAGACATAAATCTGACACGGGGGCAGAGCTGTGGGAAGATGTGGCTGGTCCTAGGAGTGAGGCTGGCTATCAGGTTGCATTGCCCTTGGGAGAAGCATTAAACCAAATTGTTTAATATCCCATTCATGAATGCAAGCACGTATGTGGATGGATTCTGCAGTTCTAGCCCATGTTTTACACACCTGTCAGGTTGGGGGGGGGGCGGAGTTTGCTGAATGAATCAAGAAGGACCCTGACGCTTTAGGTAAATGTGACTCAAAAAAGATCTATTAGAATTGGAAAAGGTGCAAAGAAGGGCAACGATCAATCCTGATCTGTGGCATTTTCCAGGTCCAGGCTCCCCAGCCCCAGCTCGGTCAATGCCCCCAGCCCTAGCTCTACCCCATCCTAGCCCTGGCCCTTAGTCCACATACCCCTATTGGGTCCAGTCTTGGGCCACCCCCATGGGCAGCAGGTATCACAGGCCAGGGGAGGCTCGGCCTCCCCAAACAGCCGGGCATGGCTCCACTCACGCTCCGCCCAGAGACCCCTTCTGCTTCTCGCTCTTCCTCTGTGGTTTGGGCTGGGCTGGGACTAGGGCAGGCCTGTGGCCCAGGACTCAGGGCGGCTGGGCCTGGTGCTCGGGCTGCGCCGCCCGGCACTCTGGGGCTGGGGGTGCTTGAGTGGCCCGGGGCTGGCAGCCATGTGAGTGTTTGGGGGCTCCAGCGGGGAAGGGGAGGTGCAGTGGCTGGCCAGCGTAACCCCTCTGTCAAGTACCCCTCGTGGCACTGGGGCCATGTGCTGGCAAACGGGACGTACCATTTCTGCGCCAGAGGTGGATCCAGTGTTGTGCCAGGAGGGGCGACGACCTAGCACTAGGCGTATAGTCCCCTCTATTCCAGTCCTCGCTGCCCGCGCTGTGCACCCAGCGGGTTCCCCGAGCCTCCTGCCCTTCCCTGCCTGGCTCCAGCGTGGCCCGGCCGGAGTGGCTGTATCTCTGCTGGATGTACCTAACCCGATGCAGTGAGCATGCCTGGGAGGGGCTAGAACCCGCAGAAGGGACTGGAAATCTGCTCCCCTGGCCCCTTCCCTCTGGCTCCTGCCCTGTGAGATGGGGACTGGGCGTCAATCGGCAATGGCTCTTCTGGGTCTGAAACGGCTGCTCTGTTTAAGCACCGTTCAATCCCCCTTGCGGCGCACGGGCCGCTGCCGTGAGCCAGCGGTTCCATAGGGAGCAGCTCTGCTCAATAGCTCTGGGTAGCTACTCCCCTCTGGGCAGGGAATGTTAAGGATCATTTGCCTGGAAGGCCCCCGCAGTTTCCCCATTGATTTGCGTTTTTTTCTTTCTGCTGCCCCAACCCGATACATTTTCATTAAACCCTCCCGGCCCGGCGGCCGCTGCAGGTCGTAAAACCTTTTGACAAGCCCTTGATCTTTCTTTACTGCTGCAGCAGCAGCTGGCGCCTGAGCAGTTGCACAGCTTGGGGAAAAAGTGCTTAGCAAAGGAGCCTAGTTTTAAATCAAAACCTGCTCAGGGTGGGCCTGTTGGAACGCACGGTGCTGATGAGGCTCTGGCAGGGCCCAGCCGTAGCCGGATCGCTCTGTGGCCCTCCCTGGCTGGAGGGGTTAACCCAGCACTGGCGCTGATTAAAGGGGGCCACGCTGAGGGTCTTGAGTAGACACAGAACAGCAGCTTCCCTGCACCCCTGACGCGAGGGTCCCCCCTTAGAGGTGGGAGGGGAAGTCTGTGTCCGCGACCCACCCAGAGCTGAGACTGCTAGTAAAGTGCCACTTCTGCTGGTGATTTTTGGTGTGTCTGTTCTCCGGGGAACTAGACTGAGTCCCACCAGTTCATGTCACACCAGTCCCTGGGCCCCAGCAGACAGGAAGATGGATGGTTAAGGCACAGACTTGGGAGACCTGGGATCAAGTCCCGGCTCTGCGTGTGACCTTGGGCAAGTCTTTTCGGTGCCTAAATACCTATGAGCATCTGGGCTCAACTCCCATTGATTTCAGTAGGAGTGAAGCACCTAAATGCCGCTGGGCCTTAGTCCCTCCATGCCTCAGTTTCCCCTCGGTACTAATGGCTCTGCCCTGCCTCACAGGGGGGTTGTGAGGATAAACACATAGAACATCGTGAGGCGCTCGGGTACGATGGAAGTCGGGGCCATGCCAGTACCTTAGACTAGCAGAGATGAGGTGGGCAGAACAGTGGCCTGAGTTCATTTCGGTATCCAGTCCCCTTTGAAATAGGAGGCAGTGTTGTCCAATGGCTAATGCACCTGGATCTCTTCCCACCTCTGCCACTGATTGACTGTGACCTTGGGTGAGTCACTTCCCCCCCCCCCCCGCTGCCTCAGTTTCCTATCTGGGGATAATGGTGCTTGCATTTGTAAGTGCTGTGAGAGCGCCAGTGAAATGCAAAGTAGTCATATTTGTGAAATCCAGACGTGCCACCCTGTCCCCGCAAGGGGGCTCAGCTCCCCAGGGGGGTTCTGTGCCATCTGAAGAATCTCGGTACTGCAGCACGGCTGGACGTGCAAAGGAGGAGAGAGATTCTGGCCGGGCCCAGCCTCTATCAGGACACACAAATAAATAACATCTAAACAGGGAACGTCATGGATTGAGCTGTATCTTGTTGAAACAGACACTGCTTCAAAGCTGGCAGTGGTCCTTTCAAGGTAACGCAGGGCCTGGCCAATGGAAACTGGAACAAATTGCTTTCCTCTTCTCTCTGTCTTGCTGCTGTTTTGCAGTTGGTTTAGTGGCATCTCCTGGGAGCCAGGTCCCCTTTCCCTCTGACCTTCTGCCTGGCAAGGCCATGCCGCCCATGACAAGTGACAGCAGCTGAGCCCTCACTGCGAAGCCATTGTTTTAAGAGGTGGTGGCTAACAGCAGTGCTTAGCTCTCCGGTAGCACTGTCCACCTGCAGCTCTTCAAAGAAAGGCAAATATCGCTGTCCCCATTATACAGAGGGGGAAACTGAGGCACAGGGCAGGATGATTTAGTTGGGGATTGGTCCTGCTTTGAGCAGGGGGTTGGACTAGATACCTCCTGAGATCCCTTCCAACCCTGATATTCTATGAAGCGAGTTGCCCAGACCAGTAGCAGCGCTGGGACTAGAACCCATAATATCCCAACTTATTCCAGTGCCCTGTCCTAAGTCTGTTCGGGATCTGTTCAGGCTAACCTGTAATAAGCCCCTCTCAGGCCCCAGTAAGAGTGCCCCTGTGCCCTTGTGAACTGCTTTAACTAAACTGGTTTAAATTCACACCTCTAGTTAGACTGTGAAACGCTGTGTATAGACCAGGCCTGACTGAACTAAGCTTAAGAGCAGTTTAAATGAGTCCGAGTGTGGTTACGCTAAGGGTTTGCCCTGCTTAAATTGATCAGTTTGGCTGCTGCACATTTTCTTGCCCTGCCTTGGAGTTGTACCCACTCGCCTACATATAACTGACCCTGCTGCTTACCTCTCCGCTTCAACCGTGGCCGCCTGATGTAAATGTAAGGGAGGCTAATCCCTGTAAGCCACGTGCCGAGAGACCCAAGGAACGCAACGAGCAGGAGGCGGAAGAAGGCTTGAGTTAAAGCAGCCCCTGCGCTACTGGAAGAAACCCCTCCTCCCAGCTCCTTTGCAAGTTCCATCAATAGAGGCTCCATTGCACACTGGTACAGCAGCGTCCGGAGGGCTAAGGGAGTGAGAGCATCCCAGCCTCCAGCTGACACCACGTTCCATGTCCCCTTTGAATCCAGCCTTTGGCCTTAAACTTCCCAGCCAGCGGGAGGCAGGAGAGCAATTGATTCATCTGTAAAAGGCCCAGCAAAACTCCAGCCAGCAGCTCATTGAATTGCACTTGACAGCCCGCTTGTAGGTTGGCGGGAGGTTGGCTTTGGTTCCTGTGCTCGGCCCCCGGCGGGGCATTGGGAATGGACATTTGTCCTGGGCGATAACAGACTGGTACGCTGGATCGCGTGCCCAGGGGTTTGCGAGGTCACTAGTAGACCGGTTTTCACTCGGGGTGGGCTACCCAGCCTGCTGGATTAGGAGCCAAGTGCAAGCAAAGAACTCTCTGCTAGCAACGATTGCCGCGGGGCCAGGGGACGAAGCAGCTTTGCGGCGCAACTGGAGCCGTGCTGTCAGGGCTTCTGCAGCTAGTCCGTCCCCGCCCTAGAGGCTGGGCTGTGGAAATGCACCTCCTCAGGCTGTCTCTTTCCCCATCCTCCTAGGGCTGGGGAACAATGAACATTGGCCTGTTCCGCAGTCCCTGGCCCACCCCTCCCCGGGGGACAGACCCCTGGACTGGCGCAGAGCCCTCGGAATGCGTGTGGGAAGCAGGGGTGGGGGAGAAAGACGGTGCCACATTGGCAAACTGAGCCGCACTCCGCTCTCGCTCTGGCTGGTGGAGAGCTTCCAAATGTCTCCTTGTCCCAAAGCCCCTTCGTGCCCACTGGTAAGTGCTGGGTCACCCTCCTGTGTTCCTAGCCAGAGTAACTTGAGTTCCTTCTGCCCTGGAAACCCCATTTGCTCTCCAAAATCACTAACCCATTGATACACTCGCAATGACGCCTTCCTTGTTTCCCGTACTCCCCTAGGGCATTTCCCAGGCAGTGTTCATCGGCCATGACTGGGGCGGTGCTGTGGTGTGGAACATGTCCCTCTTTTACCCAGAGCGAGTGAGGTAAGTCACCGGCGGATGTCTCCCCTAGAATTCAATCTCCAAAGGGGGCGTTGCTACCACGCAATGAGCTTTCTGACTTAGTCGTGGATTTTGTTTTGTTTTTTCCAATCTGTCCTGAAATGAGATGATTTTGGGAAGAGAATGCTGAGGAAATGCTCCCGATTCCCACTAATGTGACCAGAAGGTTTTTTGTTCACCATATAAATTATCACCACAATCACCAACTTGACTCTTGAAAATATTTATTTGCTCAGAGCTTTGTTAGAAGCGAGGTTCTACTCTGAAAAGTGACCGTGGACAAAGAGGCCTCCGCCGACTCACCAGGTCTACTCCCTGTTGTGAGTGTCAGAGGCAGAACTGTTCATTTGAGGGGCAAAAGGCGATTTTTTACTGCTCTTGACTCTTGTTAGCCCTCGAGAGCCAACACAGCTGAGAGCAAGCGAGCTGGATTCTATTCCTCTGGGGGCATCGTCAATTGCACCATGAACAAGGTTCCGGTCAGTTACGCCTGTGCAAATCGGTGACCTTGCTCAGGTGTTACTGAAGTCATAACCTGAAAGCACTGGGGCTGCGCAGGTGTCACCAAGCACCTGATTTTCCCTACAGGACCTTTAGAACTGGTGGCCCCATGTGAGAAGGAAAGATCCCAGCATGACTCTGAGCCCAGCTTGAGTTCCCAGTGCTGGCTAGTGGAGGAAAACCTCTGTACTCAAACTGAGCGTGCTTGATGGAGTCACTGAGGCGTAACAAACGTGACCTCTCACAAGACCATTTGTAGGGACACTTTTCAGAGTAGAGCCTCACTAGGTGAAGCTGGTGCTGGGAAAAGTTGCCAGGATGCCAGCCCGGGAGACAGAGTTTCTCTGTTTAGCTACTGAACAAGTACAGCCTGAGTAGCAGCCCAGTAAGTTTTCTCTGCGCATCGTCCTGCCAGGCTGCCCCAACCTCTCTAGTCTTAGACTCTGACCTCTCAGTGTGGCCATAACGCGTGTTGCCACGGTAAGAGTCCTGGAGCCTGAGCCAATTCCCGGTGAATTACTCAGCTGGATCTGAGACCAGCCTGCAGAACTGGGGTGCCGGTGGCTAGAACCTTAGTATATGGACCGAGTGGATCTGGGATTCAGTGACCTCGTTCGTTGGGCCCTTCCCCACTGACAAGTGATGCTTCACCGCGGGAGAAGGCTCTGGGCACTCGGGGCTAGATTCTTAGATGGTGTAAATTGATGATCTGTTTAGGCCAATATGATTGTGGTGAATTATGCTTGCTGCGGACCTGGTCCTTCACATGATGTTACTCCCGGGGCCTGGGGTGTAATAGGAGTGACGGTCTCTGCTATCCATCTCCCCTGCCCCAGTTCACCATTTACTGCTCTCACTGCCCTCCCATCACAGAAACAACGGCTCTGCTTCCCCCAGACCCCTTCACGGTGGAGTTCTAGTGAAGGCGCTCCATGTGCTTGAAGCTCAGAGGGAGCACCTGAAAAGGTCCATATCTCACTTCTCTTTGAAGCCTGCTCGTGGGTGACTTCCTGTCCCATGTAAATGCCCCTGTGTGTGCGCGCAGCCCAATGCCAGTGTGCGAAGTCGGAGTCTGCCGTTTAAATCCGAGTGTATCGCTCCTGGTTGTAAACTGGGTCTTTTGGTTTCTCCCTCTTTGATTCCTGCTGCTGGTGTCTTAGGGCAGTGGCTGGACTGAACACGCCCTACAGACCTGCGGACCCCAAAGTGAATGTCATGGAGACGATCAAAGCCCGTCCTGTGTTTGACTATCAGCTTTATTTCCAGGAGCCGGTGAGTACGAGCCAAAGATGTTCTATTCCCAGTGCGCTGGGTACATGCGCTCCATGGGTTCTGTTCTCCTGCCTGCCAGTCCCGTGATGTAAGGCATCAACAGAGAACTCTACCTGAAGAAATATAAAAGATGGCTCTGGCTAGAGGGCCAGATTCAGAGCTGCTGTAAATCCGTATAACTGGATTGACTTCAGTCTAACTCTGATGGCTTCCACCAGATCTAGCCCCATAGTGCCATAAAGGGAGAGCTCGTAAGGTAATAAAACAGCTGGAGCGGAGAAAGTTTGTCTGACAGAGATGGTTCCATTAGTAACGCTCTCTCTCCTTCTGATGAGACATCCGCCCTTGGTCGTATGCCTCACTGATGATGTAGTGTGTACCAGGGGTGCGCTCTGTCCATCAGATGAGATGTTAAACTGAGACTGATTCTGCCTGTATTTGGTGTCTGTCCAGGCAGGGGGTTAAAGATCCCCTCGCACTATTCCAAAAGCGTTAAGGGACAATCACAGACTCCTGGGCACTGCTCCCCCCATCTTACCACCCTTGGACATCTCAGCCGCTGTGGAAACCAGTTCCAACGTCCAAGTGTCTAGAAAGGGTCATAAACAACAGGGAGTCTGGTGGCACCTTAAAGACTAACAGATTTATTTGGGCATAAGCTTTCGTGGGTAAAAACCTCACTTCTTCAGATGCATAGAGTGAAAGTTACAGATGCAGGCATTATATACTGACACATGGAGAGAAGGGAGTTACTTCGCAAGTGGAGAACCAGTGTGGACAGGGCCAATTGAATCAGGGTGGATGTAGTCCACTCCCAATAATAGATGAGGAGGTGTCAATTCCAGGAGAGGAAAAGCTGCTTCTGTAATGAGCCAGCCACTCCCAGTCCCTATTCAAGCCCAGATTAATGGTGTTAAATTTGCAAATGAATTTTAGTTCTGCTGTTTCTCTTTGAAGTCTGTTTCTGAAGTTTTTTTGTTCAATGATAGTGACTTTTAAATCTGTAATAGAATGACCAGGGAGATTGAAGTGTTCACTTACTGGCTTTTGTGTGTTACCATTCCTGATGTCCGATTTGTGTCCATTTATTCTTTTGCGGAGGGACTGTCCAGTTTGGCCAATGTACATGGCAGAGGGGCATTGCTGGCACATGATGGCATATATAACATTAGTGGATGTGCAGGTGAATGAGCCCTTGATGGTGTGGCTGATGTGGTTGGGTCCTCTGATGGTGTCGCCAGAGTAGATATGGGGACAGAGTAGGCAACGAGGTTTGCTACAGGGATTGGTTCCTGGGTTGGTGTTTCTGTGGTGTGGTGTGTAGTTGCTGGTGAGTATTTGCTTCAGGTTGGGGGGCTGTCTGTAAGCGAGGACTGGCCTGCCTCCCAAGGTCTGTGAGAGTGAGGGATCATTTTCCAGGATAGGTTGTAGATCGTGGATAATGCGCTGGAGAGGTTTTAGCTGGGGGCTGTATGTGATGGCCAGTGGTGTTCTGTTGTTGTCCTTGTTGGGCCTGTCCTGTAGTAGGTGATTTCTGGGTACCCGTCTTGCTCTGTCAATCTGTTTCCTCACTTCCCCAGGTGGGTATTGTAGTTTTACGAATGCTTGATAAAGATCTTGTAGGTGTTTGTCTCTGTCTGAGGGGTTGGAGCAAATTTGGTTGTATCTAAGGGCTTGGCTGTAGACAATGGATAGTGTGATGTGTCTTGGATGGAAGCTGGAGGCATGTAGGTACGTATAGCGGTCAGTAGGTTTCCGGTATAGGGTGGTGTTTATGTGACCATCACTTATTTGCACCGTAGTGTCCAGGAAGTGGATCTCTTGTGTGGACTGGTCCAGGCTGAGGTTGATGGTGGGGTGGAAATTGTTGAAGTCCAGGTGGAATTCTTCAAGGGCCTCCTTTCCGTGGGTCCATATGATGAAGATGTCATCAATGTAGCGCAAGTAGAGGAGGGGCACTAGGGGACGAGAGCTGAGGAAGCGTTGTTCTAAGTCAGCCATAAAAATGTTGGCATGCTGTGGGGCCATGCGGGTACCCATAGCAGTGCCACTGACTTGAAGGTATAAGTTGTCCCCAAATCTGAAGTGGTTGTGGGTGAGGACAAAGTCACAAAGCTCAGCCACCAGGCGTGCTGTGGCCTCATCAGGGGTACTGTTCCTGACAGCTTGTAGTCCATCCTCATGTGGAACATTGGTGTAAAGTGCTTCTACATCCATGGTGGCCAGGATGGTGTTTTCAGGAAGAACACCAATGCATTGTAGTTTTCTCAGGAAGTCGGTGGTGTCTCGAAGACAGCTGGGAGTGCTGGTAGCGTAGGGTCTGAGGAGAGAGTCCAAATAGCCAGATAATCCTGCTGTAAGAGTGCCAATGCCTGAGATGATGGGGCGTCCAGGGTTTCCGGGTTTATGGATCTTGGGTAGCAGAATACCCCTGGTCGGGATTCTGGGGGTGTGTCCATGTAGATTTGTTCCCGTACTGTAGCTGGGAATTTCTTGAGCAGATGTAGAATGTGGTCTTGGAGAGTTGCCTGGCAGCCTCCTGTTCATAATCCGACCTGTTCATTATGACTACAGCACCTCCTTTGTCAGCCCCTTTGATGATAATGTCAGAGTTGTTTCTGAGGCTGTGGATGGCATTGCGTTCTGTACGGCTGAGGTTATGGGACAAGTGATGTTGTTTGTCCACAATTTCAGCCTGTGCACGTCTGCGGAAGCACTCTATGTACAGGTCCAGTCTGTCATTTCGACCGTCGGGAGGAGTCCACGCAGAGTTCTTCTTCTTGTAGTGTTGGTAGGAGGGTTCCTGTGGGTCAGTGCACTGTTCAGTGGTGCGTTGAAAATATTCCTTGAGTCGGAGACGACGAAAGTAGGCTTCCAGATCACCGCAGAACTGTATCGTGTTCTTGGGGATGGTGGGACAGAAAGAGAGTCCCCGAGATAGGACAGACTCTTCTGCTGGGCTAAGTGTGTGGTTGGAAAGATTGACAATGTTGTTAGATGAGTTGAGGGTACCATTGTTGTAGCCCCCTGTGGCAGGTAGGAGTTTAGATAGCTTACTGTCCTTTTTCCTCTGTAGAGAAGCGAAGTGTGCATTGTAAATGGCTTGTCTCATTTTTGTAAAGTCCAGCCACGTGGAAGTGGGTCATGGAATCGAGGAAGCCGCTGCGGGGTTTGCGCAAGGATCTGCAAGATTCATGAGCTCCCCTGCCCGGCTTTTTAAATAACCCTGAGCAACAAATTCCTGCTCTTGCCTTCGGCGCCTCGGAGGCTTTGTTCGAAGAGGCTTATCCGAGCGTTAGAGGCGCTGGGCAGTGCCAGCTTAAGGACGGTAGACGCATGCCACGCTAATGGGCGTGTGCAGTGCTCACGAGCAAAGGCCATTGGCCGGGATTAGGCAAGGCTCCCATTGGCCTTTCCAAGCACGGCCAAAGCATGGAAAATTTCACAAGCTGCCCCCAGCAAATGGGTCAGCAAAGGGCGTGGCGGGATTGCCTTCATCTGGCCACTTGCCACCTACAGCTACCTTGACGCTCTCCAGCCATGACCAGCTGGTAAGTCCTAGGGGACATTGAGTCCGGTCCCCTGCTAGCACAGGCGACCCCAAGTCTCCTGTAGCAGCAGAGTGCGGCAGGCCTCCTCAGAACAGCTCTGCCTCCCGTCCATGCGCGCGGTGGTGCCTGGCTGTTCTGGCCGATAGCTGCACCCTGCGGCTTGAACTCTGCATCACAACCGGCGCACACGCATCAAGTCCCCCGCTGGGAATTGCATCCCAGCACGTACCTACCTGGACTTCTGCAGCAGCGGGGGGTGTCCCAGTGTCTTCGCTGCACGGCTGGCTGGGTGAGTGGGGCTCATGCTCGAATCAGATGTAACCGAACTCTGTGTGCCCCCTGCTAGGGACACAGCCCCGGCTGCTGGGTCAACGTGCCGCCAGCAGCTGCTGAGCCAGGCTGGG